ATTATATGCCACTATTGAAGAATATTAAGTAAGGCAAAAAATATTATATTCAAGCATGTAAAGCTTTAATATTATAAGCTGACAGTTTGGCCAGTCTTAATCTATATTCAAATTTATGTGTGGAAATTGGAAAAATTCAGTCTAAATTTTATATATAGGGCCAGGGATTTAGCTCAGCGGTTTCGCCACCTGCCTTGCCAGCATAAGGGCCCAAATTCAAACCCCGGTAGAAAAAAAATGATAGATAAACAGACTTTCATGAATGTTAAGAATATTTTGAAAAAGAATAAAGATTGTGGGTTTGGGAAATTGTCTCATTAAATCAGTTCAAGTCCGTATTAAATGGAACAGTAGGATATTGGTGTACATTTAGATTATTGGCATAGGATCCAGAGCTTAAAGTTAACTGATTCAATTAAAACATATACATTGGAGAGTTATAATTTTAAATTATTGGAAATCACTATTTCATTGTGAAATATAAATAGTCTTACTTCACATGATGCCTACACAATCATACAAAGTTCTAACTTTGCTAAAATCTAAATAACAAAACTATTTTAGTGTAAAATGTATAAAATATACATATGCATTTGGATGAGTAAAAGATTTTCAAAAAACACAAATTATAAGGTAATACAGGATTAAATTTGTAAATTAAAATTCAAATCATTTATACTTCAAAAGAAACACATTGAAAAGAGTAAAAAGAGATTAAAATGCATATCATTATCGAATTATTCATCTTTAGTATATTTTATGTGTTTGTGTGATATCTGTCTATCTATCTATCTATCTATCAATGGTAAAAACAAATAAATGGAAAAAGATTAAAAAAGCTTTCCATATAAAGGACACCAAAAGCATTTTTTGGGGGCATACCAGGGATCAAATTCAGGATTTTGAGCTTGCAGGGCAGGTGGTAGAACCAATGAGCTAAATCCCCAGACCCCACCAGCAGCATTTTGTTAAAATACTTAACCTCACTATTAATGAAGGAAGTGCATGATAAACAGCAGTTAAATCAATGAATTAAAAAATTAAAATGGATAAATACTAAATGTTAGAGTTTATAGGAACCCCTAAAATTGCTAATAGTTGTTTTAAACAGAATGGTCACTTTGAAAATAAATTTAGTAATATATTAACTAAGTATTCCATTCTTAGGAGATATTATGTAGGATATCTTTTATATAGAATATCTTTATAGATAATATCTTTTACACACATCTGTGTGTGTATGATAAAATTAAATGATGTTCAATGTGCAGGTATTTTGTGATAGTAAAAACATTAGAAACAACTAAATGTCCAGATAATGTAGAATAAATAAATATATTGTAAAGTATTAATATGGAAATGAATAAAATAGTTTATACATTAAGCAGTGATGATATAAACAAAACCAAAGAAAATACAGATATCATCTAGATAATTTGGAAAGTCACTTACTTTCTATTTTCATATATCTATATCTATATCTATATCTATATATCTATATATAGATATATATATTGGGAAAGTAGAGAGGAAGTTGGGTTAAACAGTTAACTTCAATTTATTCACAATGTTTGATTTTTTGAGATAGTGATAGGTGCATTTGTGTTACATATATTATTATCGATGCATCTTTGTATGACTAAAACTTTAACAAAAATACTTAAAGTTTAGTAGATTAAAGATTCCATTAATACATATAGATATGCTATCATTTGTATGCCTCATTTGCTTACTGATCTCTGAAGGATGTAATGACTCAATAATTCAGAGCAGCATCTACATGCACTTATTCATTGTCGTAACTAAAATGTGGATCTATCATTTGTGTGGAAAATTGAAAAATTTCACAGTTTACATAATGTACTCTTAGATATTCTCTTCCAACTCTGCCAGGCGTCTGTGTACGCAAGCTCCTGAAAAGGTGTCAGACCAAAGCTATTGACCTTTTTCATTTTCTAGAAATGCTTTGTTCTGTGGGGTCTGCTGAAAAGTAACCCCATAGCAAATCAATTCCTTAGCTCTTTAACACATGCCGTCATGGCAAACCATCTGTTTCTTGAATTTAGATGGGTAATTCAATACAGCCGTTTTGAACTATTGCTATACATACACACCCAATCTGTTATACATGATTTTTTTAAAGCCTAGTTCACAAATGCTTTCATCCTAGCATATAAGCTTTATCTGCATCTTCATCCTAGATTTTTATCAGTGTGCTCCATTTAAGACAACGTGAAAATCACAAGCCTCCCATGATACAAACAATCATGAGTTCCTTTTTTCACTTTAAGTTGAGAAGGCAGCACAGGTGTCCCAAGTCCACTTTTGCAGACAGGAAAGAGCATGGTTTTAATGGTACAAAATTAGTTTTTTAATTTAACTTTAAAAAATCTAGTGTCCAATAGTTTTTAAATAATTTAAGAAAACTGTAAACATGAAATAAAGGAGGATGAAAAAGTATTTCGAGAATCTCATTCTTGATGATGACATACATGAGGGAAGTACACAATTTAATATCCCATAACATATGTTATAAAATTTTTGATGACTCTATGTTAAGAATAAGTAAAAAATAAAACTGCTGTCAGGTGAGAATAGTTAGTGCATCAAGTTAATTAGTTTAACACATACTGGAGAATATTTAATAATGCTTATTATGCTGCTATGGATTATGAAGAGAAGAATGAAATATGCTACTAAAATGATTTCAGAGGGAATATATAATGATGGCCTAGATGAAATGGAAAGAGCTGCTGTACTGTAGGAAGGAAATAAAAGCAAGCAAGGTTCACCATGGGAGTGCATCAGTAATATTCTGCAAGCTTTTTTAGAAAGTTATCCTATAAAGGAAGTCTTCCAAAATTATTAACGTTAAGAAATGCTGCTGGTTTAGTCATATAATAGAGTGTGTTATAACCACATAATGATAGGCCAATGAACTCTCTCATAAAAAAAAAACAAAAAACATAAACTTTCAGGAACCTGACAATCATGAGTTTTTTCCTGTGTTCCAAATCCCTTCCTGCCTTTTCAGAAAGATGTGTGAGGCTATAAACCTTTCCAACTATTGCTTGTTGAAAGTATTTCACTGCAGCAATCTTGTGAAAGAGAAATACAGAGAAATATCTCAAGGCTTTTAGGATTTTATAGCCTGTATAAAAACAATTAAAATGAGAAAGTAGCAAGGGTTATAAATACAGTTTGGGAATCTAGTAGAACAAAGCAGCAATTCCTTCATTTTTGGATGATTTGGACTGAGTATGTACACATGTGCGATTAAAATCAGAAGCAGATATTCAATCAAAATCTAAAATATACCAAACCTGAAACAATATTATAACCACTTTAGATATGTACACACACCAGAACCACATTGTGCTTTTACAAGCAAATTAAAGGCATTATTCCATATTTGTACTCATGGATACATGTTCATGATATACACTAGAATTACAATAAATCTATACAGTGCTTAAATATGAGTTTAGTTCTTTTCCACTGATGCTTTTAGTATATTCACATTGAATTTGAGTAGAACCACAGAGATGCTACTAAATGATGAAATACTGCATATATTATGGGAATAGCACTTTCAAGAAAATGGTACCTGAAAGTCTCTCATGCTGAAAGGGATCTCCTCCTACGCACAAACCTGCATACTCCCCAAATACAATAATTTGCAGTTTATTTTTCTTAGAAAATTCATTATCATGTGATTCTGAAGCATGTAAAAATGATCATAATTTTCTAATAATGGTTTTGGAAACTAATACATCTTTACATATTGCATCATATTTTAGCTAAAATCAACTTTGAAAATTGAAGCAAATTATTTTTTCTAAATTTAGGAATAGAAAGTATTCTAGATAATTTAAGAGCAATCATGCATAGTTTCAAAAATTAGCTGTTAGGCAATTTTACAGATACTGTTTCATATATCTATTTTTCCCTTAAAGCCAAATTGTTCAATAAAAGCCTTCAGGACAGAGAAGAGATACAATGTGATCCTTAGAGAAAGTTACAAAACTCAAGTTAGATTCAGTCTATAATAATCATTTTTATTTTATTTGTCTTTAATAGCTTTATTTTATACAATTGTCCTGATTACATCACAATGTTAAATAAAGGTATATATTATTTTCATAAATATATATATGTGGACTCTTAAAAATCTTTATGATGTTCAGCCAGGTACTATATTCACTTGAAAAGGTAACAGTCCTTGTTACTTTTCTTGTTCCTGGGAAAACATACCTGATACAATTAAGGGGGGAAAGGTTTATTTCAGTTCAGTTTGTGGAGGTTTCAGTCTACCTTGCCTGACTCTCAGACAGGGTGACAAGCTAGAGGAGCAACAGTCCATTGCAAGACAGACAGGAGAGAGCAGCAGTCAGCCTCCCTTCCCCTTTTCTCCCATCCAGGATACAAGCCTTTTGGGTGGTGCTGAACACAATTAGGGTGGGCCATTCCATTATGCACATCCAAAACTATTCTAAACCAAATTAGTTATAACACAGTCTTCACATTCACAAACCCTGGATCTAGCCACCCTCAAAAAGCCCCACCTATGAATACATGAGGCTTTGGAGGGACATCTACAGACAAGCTCTAATAGTGACCCCACTGAATACTTAAAATAATAGTATAAGTAAGTTTTTAAGGGTATAGGATAATTAAATACCAAAGTATTTACTGGTTCCTTATGTCTGGCATAAAAGTGCATTGAAAAGACCAATAATTTACACAGCAAAATTTTATTTTGAAGTTTAATATTAGATTGTTGCATTGAAAAAAAATCAATCTTATTTTTTTACAAATATTTTCTAATATACAATTTCTAAATGAAACATTATTGCCTATAGTGGATTGCGATTTAGTTTTTTAACTCATTCTAATTTATAAAATTCATTTTATTAAGTTTCAAATAGCATCAACAGAAATTTTCCATTAGTGTAAACATACATTAGAGTATGAAACATGGTATGAGTGACCATGCTTACCATAGTTGTCTCTGCAATAGAGCCAAAGCTGTTTATGAATATATTGCATGTGACATTAACTGGAGAACCTGAAAAAGAAATTAAAACAAGGATGTTAGGATACGTATTTACATCATTTTCAAACAATTCCTTGCTTCTCATTAGTAGTTTTAAAAAATGAAAGTTTCACATTGTCAATTATCTCAGTAGGATCTTATGTACTATTATAGTTTGTACAAGATCCCAGTGATGAATGTAACTGTACTGTATACCTAAAATGTACCAATAAACTCAATGAGAAAAAACAAACAAACAAACAAAAACGGAAGTTTCATTATATGAATGAAGGAAGTCATTCCCAAAACAATCTGGACTGATAATCCCAAAGTTCAGGGACTCCTTGAAAGAGTGACACTTTTAACCTCTGTTGGTCTCATTTTTTTCTTTTCTTAATCTAGATGTCTTTAATAGCCCTGTAAATGCTTGATTTAGTAAAGCCAACATATGAGCCCCTCTATACAGAGTTTCTGTTGACCTTTTCCCTAATATATATGAGCCGTACTTTTCTTTGTGTGTCTCATAAACTTTTGGAAAATTGCATAAGCTAGATAACATAAGATGGCAATCTTGGAATCCAGACCTCTGGCCATCTCCAACCTAAAGTTGTTTACTGCTAATTTTTGTTGCTGTTAATTCTGGTTCAGTGACTTACCCTGACTAATGCAAGCAAGTCTCGAATTTCATACTCTAGGGCCACTGAAATCTCAGCCCAGTGAGCTGAGTAGTCAGATTCCCTAACTTACTTGAATCCATAAACTGTTCTTTGCCAAGAAGCTTCATGTTTGTTTGGAGGCATGGTTTCATTGTCCAGGTAGTTTACATCTTGTCTTGTCCTTTGCTCCTATCTGGAACGAGGCCTGAGATCAGCCAGACTGGCGCCCTTTGTGGACTTTGCTGGACACAAATTTCACTTAATACCTACCCATGACCTCTAGGTCCATTAGATTACATCAGACCTTTTCCCAGTGACTTATATACTGCATTTCTCAGATCTGGCTCAGTTTTGTTTAAGCTCTTTTTGGACACAGTAGGAATTACAGTCTGATTCTATTTTTTTTCTTCCAGTACCAGGAACTGAACTCAGGACCTTAAGCTTGCAAGGCAATTGCAGCACCACTTAAGATGAACCCAGATCTAATGGAGCTTTGAAATATTCTTTAATTTTTTTTTTTTTTTTTTTTTTTTTTTAGCAATTCTCCTGAGAACAGGATTTATTTCCCTTCAGAAGAATTTTTACTGAAATGAAATCATGAAAAGTACTTATTCTAGGCTTATTCTACGGACATTCCTGATGTGTCATACAGTGACTAAACTCTGGATTTAGAATTTCCAAAGAGCTCCAAATCTGGTCTGTCTTCTGATAAGCTGCTATAATACTGCTGGACTTCATGGACTTCATACTGTGAATATGGGGAGTTAGACCAGTTTAAAACATCTTCTGTTTTTAAAGAAAATTTGTCAGTTTTTCTTGAAAATCGTTCCCCAGTTGGTTGATGCTATGCCACTAAACACACAGCCCCAAGACCTTTTATTAATTTATTTTTATTTATTATTTTTAATAAATTTATTTTAATTGGACACTATTTAGAAGTAAATTTATTTTACAGTATTTATTAGAAAAAAAAGATAGTTGCCCTTTTTCCTACCTTTCCCTTTCCTTCTTTTCAGACAACATAATTTTAACTAATTTATGAAGTTCATTGGGTATTTATCTAAATTTCTGTACATAACATTTTTACTTTGCTACTTTCATATGTTTTTGTCTTAGGCATATGTTCCTTGCTCACGTGGAAGACAAGGGTTTATCTTTTCTTTTTATACATCATCCCTTACCTCCAATCCATAAATCTTTCTACCTTCCTACTATGAAATATAGTTAAATTTTATTTGTATTTACTTCTTCATTTTTTATTTTAATTTAATTTTATTTTTTTGGTACCAGGCATCGAACTCAGGACCTTGTGCTTGCAAGGCAGGCTCTGAAACCACTGTGCTATATCCTGAACGATTTGTGTTCAGTTAATGTTAATGTTCACTTTTTACACCATTTATGGTGTAAATATTACACCAATTTAGCCTTATAATATTCTGTGATTGCATTTCCTTTTCTGAAGTACACTTTCTTGAGATTTTCCAGATTTTACCACATGTAACATTAATTAATCCATAAATTTGGAAGTGTCTTAAATTATGTTTCATTACATTCAGATTCATCAGATGTTCTGTTAATTTCATTTTCCTTTGGACTTAAAATCTAGAATTTTTTTGCCTTAAAACAAAGCAGTCATCATATGCTTGAAGTTCATGACTTTTCTACCATCACAATTGAAATTAATTCCATCTTTTTATTTTGTGGGATCCTCTTCCATGGTTCCCATTCCTTCTTTTTTCCCGTTAATTGAACACATTTTCATTAATTTTTGACAAATGATGCATAATGCTATGAAGTTCTGAAACCTTTCTTATCAACAAATATCCTTTTTTATGACTTCACAGTTAATGTAGAGATACATTTGTTAGAAAATTTTAGATTGGACATTTGTTTTAGTTTTCAATTTATAATTGATTAATTAGCAATACATAATTTTCATCCTCTTCCCTCTGAGAGAGAGAGAGAGAGAGAGAGTGTGTGTGTGTGTGTCTGTGTGTGTGTGTGTGTGTGTGTGTGTGTGTGTTTATTGCTGTGGATTGAACCCAGGGCATTATCATGTTCAGTAAGTGCTGTACCACTGAGCTACACCCAAAAGCCCTTTTGTTTGTTTCATTACACTTTCTTTAGATGTCCTTATATCTTATGAACTAAGGTAGATGTTAAAAAAGTAATTTAAAAATAAAATTTCAGATTTATAGTTCTCTGTGTTGTATGTTGTACACTGAAAGATCTTTAACTAATATAGATGCCCCATCTATATTTCTAATTTAGTTGATATAAACATAAAAAAGATATCAACATTTTTAAAGCCCCCTTAAATCATTGGAGTACACACAATGTTTGCAAATCCATAGCATAAGGAATTCCATAGTAGAAAACACACCTGGAATCATCAGAGAGCTGAGGAAATTCTTAAAGATAGAGAAATAGAGAAGTGCATTGAAAAGGCAGGATTGAATTTTTGTAAGATTTCCTATAAGTATGTTGGTTTCTATCAATAATGAAATAGAGTAGATATTATGTACTTGAGAGCCCAAAGTTTGTGAAACATGGATATTTCTAGGACACAGAATTCAAATACATAAAAATTAAATTCTTCTAAATGTGAAGGAAGAGTGTACAGGAATAAGAAAACCTGAAAAAAGCCTTGAATGCTGGTGTGCACATAATTATAGGATTAAAAATGAACAGGACTTTAAAAGCCATCATTAGTATTTTATATTTACATATTACTTGAAAGGCGAGAGGGTTGTCTTTTATGTCACTCTGTGGAACAGGTAAAATTATACTTTATCCGTGATGTTTTTTATTCCATCAAGGAGAAACATGCAGTCACAATTAAACTGTTAGAACTATTTTTTCTTTACTTAATATGAAGCTAAAGTGATGAACTCTAAAAATACACACAGACTGACTGGCATCTTTGAAAAGCTAAAACTAGTATTTAATTTTGTGGAGGAGTTGTTTTCCTGTTTTGCCACTTAACTAAAACTCTGCTATTTTCTTTTGCTAGTTACATCAATGCGAGACAGGCAACATTATTTGGCTTGAGATAAATTGTATTGTGCTCCACTGACTTCCCTTTAGAAAAGGGAAAACACAAGAGCACTGCTACTGGATTGCTTCACTTTCCAATACAATGATGGTGGCAGGACCTCCGTGTTGTGAAAACAAGGTCTAAGAAGAGGCTGTGACTAGCGGACTGCTGGCTGTATCTGACTGAAATCCCCGCTGAAGCTGAAATAAACCACACGGTGGGGGAAGGGATTCTCCTTACTTTAATTTAGCAAAGTGAAAGGTTTTTTCTGTTTTGAACTTTAAGTTGCTATGAGCACTTAATACAAGTTGAAGCAATCACTAATATATTTTTGTCCTACGCTTTCAAATTTAATTATTATCCATAAAACTGTGAATAATAAAATGGAGCCATAAGTTCAGCCTATCCTTCAGGGTTTTGAAGTTGTCAGTCAGTTTTGATACATTCAATGTTCCTTGTAAGCAAGGGCGATATGGCGTGACCTCAGGATTCCAGGAAGTTTCTGAAAGGAACATTGTTAAGCAATATATTGGAAGGAGGAAAACCCTTTGTAATTTTATTTTTTTTCCTAAAATATAGTAGTGGTATACCTGATTCACCAGTGGTTTATACAGAAGGGTTAATGAATCCTATGAGTAAATAATATGTTTCTACAGAAAAGCAGTGGTAACTTATTTAAGAGAGATAATTTATTTAGATTTTTACCAATAATTGGGGACAGAAAGCCTCATGACTCCAATGAAATGGAGGAGGTTCTTCCTAAAACTGATTCTGCCTGTATTCAAAATATAAATTTTATGTGAAAGTAAAGTAACTCACAGTGGTCTGAGTCCTGTATAGAATTTATTATCGGTTGGATTATCAGGCATATTTTTTTGCTGATATAACATATGAAAGTGTGCTGATTGGTTTTCATTTGTCTACTTATTATCTATTTCAGCACAAAGTAGGGTGCATGCATTTAGGCAACAAATCCTAATTCTGAATTTCAAAACACAGCAGACACTTTCTTGAAAATATACACTTATACGAAAACACACACAAATTAAAATTTATTTTAGAATATTAAAATATAAATAAATTTGGAAATAAAAGGCATTGTTTTATATTATAAAATCTCTTCAATATGATACCAAATTATTTGAAATTTATTTCATGAATTGTTTGGGGCCCTTACAGATTTTCATGTGAATGTAGGAACTAATGTACCACTGGCAATCGATGTGTGGATAAGCAAAAGTTTGGAGTCAGAGAAAAGAGTCATGTGTAGGAGTAAATAGATCAGATCTAACCAAGGACGGTGGGGATGGAAATAGATTACAAAGAAAGAATGGGCACAG